ATACACGGAGATCGCGATCGTGCACGAAGCAATTAACGTGCCACGGGGCTCGGATCGATTTTCCCCGCGCGCATATCCCCGCATTTTTCGCCCGAATAAAATACCTTTGTTCACACAAATGAAGTTCGGCGAAGCGAACAGTCGAACATGCGTTCTCGCGCGATCCGACGCATAAATAATTATTCCGCTTGCGTGCGTGCGTGCGTGCGTGCGTGCGTCCGTGCGTGCGTGCGCCGCATTCGGCCGACGCACTCGCGGCGAGGTTCGCTTATTTATTAATAACGGTCCCTGCATTTTACCACGACGAGATTTTAAGGCGTTAAATCTGACGTAGGCGGCCGAGATGATATTTCAAGATCAGCGATCCGTTGACGGGTGCACCAGGCTAAAAAGTGCCGACCTTGGTGTCGGCACTGACATGGCACGGCTAAAGGATAAGCGGTAGCCGCGCGCGCGTGCACACAAGCTGACAATGGAATATAAAAATAAGATATAAAGAGAGGAGAATATAACGCGAGGGGGAAATCGCTGAAAATTGCGGCGCGCAAGGCCGAGGTGTTTATTAAATCCGTTCCGCGTATCCTAGCGTCAGATATTAATTGCCGTCATTAATTACTGTAAAAATTTCGAATTGGTCTTTCTTCCGCCCCATGAATTATTTCAATTTATTCGGTCTCGTGTTCCTGTTTACTTTGTCTCATCTCTTTTGTTTTTTCGTTCCCTTCTCTCTTTCGAGATGCCCGATCTTCGATATTGTCATCGATCCGAGGGACGTATATACTGGTGGCGAGTTGCAACACGAGTTACGCGCGAGTGGCTGCGAGCCAGCGCCCAAGGTGCTAACAAACCATGAAACGACGCTCCCGTCCGCCGATATTCGTCCGTGGAATTCGCTAATTGAGAGATTCGAGGCGCACAGCGGCCGTTGCGAAACGCGCGCGTGTGTATGGCGTGTGCATCGAGAGCTCCGAGAAGAAAGGAAAATTTCAGGAAAATTCGTAACTCTGTTTTCCTCTCTGTTTGTGGCGTACGGTGGTTTATAGCAGGAGACAGAAATCTCGTTTTCTTCCTACAGTAAGAATGCGATAAATTACAATTTACCACGTGTTTCAATAGCCAACGCACAGCAAAAACATTCCATCTTGGATATTTCTCGGAACGGTTCAAAGTCCATTTTGTACTTGCTTAATATTCAGCTTTTTTGAAATTTTGACACCACGCCACGCAACACTTGACTTGAATTTGAGGAAATGGTTGCGTCACTCTTCATCATGTGATAATGTTTCGTTTCGACATATTACGTTCCTTTATTTTATAATGGGATTAATCGGTCGGTCGCAAGTCTGATTTTGATACGCCTATTAATGTAAAGTGATATGCCTATTGAAGTATAAAATTGATATGCTACGGAGACTTTAAGGGATAAAAAAATATAGTTGATATGAGTCTCCCTCATGAGAAAGGTTCGCTTAGTGTAGCAAAACTCTGTTACTCGATGAGGCCGCGACGGATATCGTGGTCTTCGATTTACATTGTTTCGAAAACAAGCGTTCACGAGCACGAAAGTGAGAAAAGTTTCAGTGATGTCAGAGGTACATCGGTGTCGGAAACCCGCATAGAATCACCCACAACTTCGTTTTACGTTCTCTTTGTTCGCGCGTTGTGTAGAGTGTCCCAGAATTAATAACGCTTTCTCGACAAGTATCGTTATTTTGCCGAGAATGAGAGGCTTAAAATTCCAGATTTAACGGTTGAAACGGTTTAAAACGGATATTTAAAATAACTCGTTCCTATTTAACTTTCTTTGTTTGCCGGAAACTTGCTAGCGAGCGGAAATTATCGCGCTTTCTCGACGACACCGTTAGCTCACCGTGGGGTTATTTATTCACTGAAATTTTTTCAATAGAAACAACTGCAATTTTGTCGTAATCTCTCAGGTCAAAAAATTCAGTGACAATTTTAGATTCGTTAATAACGGAAACTGCGATACTTCCGATCGCGCGTACATTGAAACGGATAGATTGCTACACGTGCGCGATTAGATTTTGTAAGGTGTATCATTCCGAATGATATATCGCGATCTCACACATGAAAGAAGATATAAGAAGATATAAAGACTTCATTCCTATTAGACGCGTATAATTATCTTAATGGGGCAATCAACGGAGAGTTACTTTGTAACAGCGCGCAGCTTTTTCTGCGGGCAATTTGTACCATCGCCGTTATTTACTTGATTATCGCGGGAATATTATGCTTATCGGCGTTAAAAAAGTGTCATGAGACTCGAAAGACAAAGATTAACGCGAGTTAAAAAACAAGCAGCGTCATGTGTATATAAAGATATACTTTTATGGCTGCTGTCGTCAGCAGTAATAGTATCAGCTGCGAATATTTTCTGCTGACGGGTCATACGCCAACGTTAAACGATCGTCGAAAATTTTCATTGATGATCGCGGCAATTTATGTTAAAATTATTCATACGGCGAAGAGAACAGGACGTTCAATGAATATCTCCGAAGAGTATATTTCTGGATTTTGCGAACGTGATATCGTCACGTGCACGTGAGCCCGCAAGAAAAAAAGGAATGTACATGTGGGAAGAGGACGGACGGTAAATAACGGGGAATTTGGAACATCTCGTATTCCGTCCAACCAGGAAATGAAGCTGTATTCGGCGACAACTCCGGTTTACACGCCCACATGTACCCGTGTATACAGGCACTCTCGCAGCCGAATCGTGTCGTGGAGCGAGACGATACTTCTTTTTTTTCTTTTCTCTTTGGTCACCGATGATATGGATTCGAAGATAGTGACACAACATCGGGGAATTCCGAGCGATAATATTTTCGTCGTAAATATTTTTTTCTTCCCCCCGACGTAACACGCGGAAGTGACGCGAGGGGACGCGATGTGTGATGCGATTGAAGATAAGAATAAATTAAGGGATTCAGAAGAGAGAGAGAGAAAAAAAAGACACAAGATTGTTTCCGTGCTCTCGTTAGTTGCGACGAATTGATTATCTTTAATTCGGAGCGTCGTTGCATTAAAGAGGTGGCGGCTCTCGCGGAGATGTCAATTCTATGCGCTCGCCGTCTTTCGTTAATGCAACCGATGATGCCGCGGTGCAAAAAGCACTCGGCGAGTGCAAAGATGCACTCTGCAGCGAACGCAATACGCTCGAGCAATACTTTACGATCCTCCATTCGTGGCTGTGGATTAAGGACATTTCTATGCACAGTGCAGATCTTAACGTCGACCTCGCCACGTGCACTTTCCACATCTCTTTTCGTTCTGGTATGTTAATTCCCTCTCGACGCGTCCCTCTCGACTAGATAATCGCGTAATCTCGCGAGATTGCGTTGCAATAAGACCGGCGACGCTTTATCCGAGGTCGATAAGATATAATATTGGCTCACACACAGGCAATCATACGCGATACTCGTGGTGTACTAACATTAAGCGCTAAATATAGACGTCCCCCCCCCTCCCTGCTTTCTTCCCTAAAGTGATTTTAAACATTTCGTCAATGGCGGGGTCCCTCAGTACCACATTGTTTGCTCATGGTGCCAGTTGCTTCTTGCGAGACGTCCGAAACACTTGCTACCTTTGACTGTCTTCGCGAGTTCGACGACTTCCAGCGTCGTCGGTCTCTTTCTCGCAAACGAGATTCATTTCCGTCGATTAAAGTAACTTTCGTTACAATTCCGTGGACAATTCGTCGACAATCCTCGCCGTTCGGATCGACGTTGGGGATTTTAATTGCGATTATTTCGCGAAAATATTGCGCGAGAACAAACATCTCTCAGGGATGACCTGCAGTTTACGGATGGATTTCGATTTACGCGAGGGTGAGTAAAAATTATCATAAATCCGCCAACTTTTCGCGCCATGAAAATTAATGTGAATTGGAGGGGGGGGAGAGGTTGGTTTGTTTTCACGAAATCGTGATTCTTTCGCTAGAGGTTTATTTTCTCAAAAGAATTGCGGAGCACGGTAATGCGCGTGTATATTGACATCTCGTTTTTTGGATGTATACTTTTTTTTTTAGCGAGCGTAACAGAACGAGATGATTTTATCGCGCCTTAAATTTTATCGACTTATTATCGCTTTCTTTATTATTATTTGGATTTATTTCGATTCGTACTAAGCTTCTGCGTGTGCCTCGCGTCCTGAAATTCTCCAGCGCCGTGTGCAGTTTTCCCGAGTATTCCCCGAATTACGGCGAATTTTCCAGGCTCTTGCGCAATTTTGTCCCTGACGACGCGCGACAGAGAATTACGTCGGCTCGCCTAATAGTCTCCAAAATTAATTGAACCTTGCGAATCGATAGCGGGCGGAAGATGTAACGCCGGGGCGGCATCTGGAGAGTTCCGCAAAGAGTATCTGCGTACAGTTTGGCTTCTCGATAAACGGAATATATCGCTTATCACCACAACTGCGCCCGTTCGATTCTCGGAGATGCACCTGCAGATTTATCGCCGTTGAAAAAACAGATTCGATTTCGAATTATTGCCGAAGAGGGCGTATACGATCGGCGACGATTGAATAGATCGCAAAGTTTCAACTTCTGATAATTCGTATTTAGTTTAGATCTCATATTATCGATTTTTCTCTTTTCTCTCCTCTCATTTTTCACGCATCCTTTTATCTTTCTTCACGTTTTTAAATCGGAGAGAATAATAAATATCGCGGAAAGTTTCCAAGTTCTTCGTTGCGCTCGTCACACACACACACACACACACACACACACACACACACACACACACACACATACACACACACCACTACCACCACACACACATATTTTTAAATTAAACGTCTTTTTATATCGGGATCATAATTACAGAAGATTCTTACGCAAAATCTATTTCAAGTTGCATCTCACGCATCTGCGGTCCGGCGCTGCGTGGTCGCCGCAGACGATAAGAAATACTTGAGAAATACTGTTTATCGGAAGATACTGACAGAATAATGCTTCTCGTGTCTGTTTTATCTTCAAGGTCTTTGAGAATGGAGCACGGAGAACCGATGTAAAGGGAGTAGACGCGATAGATGTTCGGCGCCATGTTACGCCCTTGTATCGTCGGAATCGTCGTCGGCTAAGTTTCACGTATCTCTGGTGAGTTACTCAATTCTTGTTAACCCAATTTCGAACGACCTTCGAGAACGTTTTCGAGAAATTTTTCCGAGACATTTTTCTTCACGCCTCGTGTAATAAATCGTGTCCCATGGATTACAAACTCGCGGTCTCGCTCTCTCTCTCTCTCTC